GTCGACTCTGAGGTGGACAGCGGTCACGCGGTCATGAAGTCCAGGTCGACGTCGAGCGTGGGCACATGGAAGGCGGAGCTGGAGGCCGCTGAATCGAACGGGACGTCGACGCGGGCCAGCTTGAACCACTCGTCTAGTCTTTCCAGCGACGAGAGTCGCGCTAAAGTGAAGAGATGCGCCAAGGTCGTCTCGTCGATGACCATGGAGAAGTGGAAGGAGACCGCCAGGTGCGAGACCAGGAGCAAAGCGCTGGCTCCCGATCACTTGAAGACCCCCCTGCGACTGGATCAGGCTGTCCTCGAGCAGAAGCAAGATGGAAATATCGCTGGAGACGTGGAAAACAGGCTGCAGAACCACCGAAACGTGGATGACGTTGGTGACGACGAGTTGCCCACGTTTATTGGAAATCTTCTGGTCTCCGTAGAGAGGAAGATCGAAAGGGTTTCGCTGGATGATTTAACGTTCCCTTGCCCAGCGTGCAGGAATATAGACACGGATGATCCTCTACTGGGGTGTAGGTGCGCTGGAGATGATTGCAGCTGTGGAAACGGAGATGATACTTGCGATTGTTCGTCATTGATAAAGAGGAAGGAACAGTCGACGAGGAGCTTCGAGATCGCCGGGATTAAACATATCGACAGCGACGACGAGGAAGAAGTTCGGATGGGATTCGGTGAGTGAACGTTTTTCTATGTTGAGTTAAAAAGTAGAGAAAACGAATGTTCACTTGGATGTTATAGATAGACTCGAGTGAGTGTCTTCTAGGTTAAGCGTAACTAACGAGCTGCGATGGTATTTAATTAAGGGCACTGAAACGGTCGCTTAATTCAGTAATGAATCGCGAACAGGGTGGTCGTTTTATTACTGTTATGCGCACGATGATGTTGAAGTTGTGACGTTATTTCGTTACATCTCGTTAGCAGCTGGTCTTTCTATTTCAATTGGCCCAATTTTAACTTGCAAAAAGAAACACAAAGGAGAAGAATGATAAATACTCGAAACATAAAGTAGATGATACAAATTACGATCTTAATATCCCATTCAATTTTGTGTGTACGAAACCTAAATTGCATATGTCACTCCACCTCTCCTTCTGCGCGTCAAAGTCTCCGCGCATATTTCCATCGACTTTATCGTCCTACGGCGGTTCCCTAGCGTACAAAGTATCGGATTCGCGTTTCGCGAAAAGTTCACGGCGCCCACGAGTCGAGTATCGCGACAACTTTATACAGACCTGTTCTTATGATTTATCGAGGCCCTCGATGAACTTGAAATTCTGTCGGAAGCGGCACGTGGGCGGCGTTCGGCTGTAAAGTGGCTACTTCACGTCACGCCGGCCATTGAAGAGCTTCCACATTGGCTCGATTCTCACTAGCAATTTACGAGAAAAAATCTGACGTCGAGGACGCGAGACGTTTCTCGATTGTCCTGCTCGAGAAAATCTTCGCTCGAGGTTTATCGTTTGGATTCCGAGCGAGCAATGGCGGATGAGCCAGCGTTTCTCTTTGGGCTCGAAGATAAACACGTATCAGCGATACGAAACGCGTCGCAAGGCGTCGCGCTTGAGTTTAGAGAGTTCGCCTCTGATTACAGATTTTCTGATGGCACGAGCGACTGCAAAATCTCGAAGTATGTTACGCGAAACAATTTCCACGTCGCACCGATTCCAGTCCTAACGAACGAGATTAATTTCCTTGCCTCGAGGAATGGACATTAGTTATTATGTATGGTTGCTCGTATCTTTCGATTCGATGTCGAGACTCGCGAGGTTTATTTAAAGCAATGACGCAAGAATAATACTTGAACTTGCATCTCGCTGTCAGGGAACGAATGTATATGCTTTTATTCTTGACACTTGTAACCTTTTGCGGTTCAAGTTGTCCTTTAAGTTAGAATACTTGACACCGAATGAATGGTGAATCCTGGGCTATTATGCGCCGCTTCTAGGACAAGTTTCATTCGTACAATAATATTTCTGATCTCATCTACTTACGTACATCCTTCTTAGAAGAAGACCACAGGAGAAAACGTAATAAGTCACGTCTTTCGTCTTTTACAATGAAATATTTCTATGATTCAATATAGGACCGTGTATCGATTCAATAATCGATTTAATAATCCCAATAATCTTCAATAGGTAATTGAATTTAATCCAAACCGACTATCAATAGAGGATTATAACTTCGCAGCTACCACAACTCCTAAGCTCCTTCCACGTGTCATAAATTCCCATAAACCCAATCAACGATCCACAGAAACCCAACCTCACCATCAAAGGATGAGGATTCCATCGGACCATTCCATCGAACTCGCAAATTGTCAGCCAATCTTTCGTCGAGGAAATAAAAGGCGTTCCCGAGTGGATCTTCTCGTGAAGTTTCATGACTCGGCCGATCTCTTTTCGCGTGTCCTCCCACGCATCGCGTCTCGCGTCTTCCGGTGTCCTTTGGTACCGCCGCCGACAGGTTTGCAAAGCGCCGAATTCTGTGCGCCACCCACCAGTACCGTTTACCATTAGCGGTGTGTTTGCGCCGCGCTAACGCTGACTTATGGTATTTGTCTCCTCTCGTGCAACGAGGTTACGTAACATGGCTGACTCGCGTAGGTGAACGGGAATCGAGCGAGGTTTCTACCTTTAATTCCTTCACGTCGCAGCCCGGGACGATGAAAGGGATTCCTGGCATCGCTTGGATTCGGACGTAATTGTTCGCGAAGCATTTCAGTTGAAACGTTGTTTTATTGCGATTGATCAATAGTAGTCTTGTTGGTTAGGGTACATCGGTCTTTAGATAGTGAATATAATTGCAATTTGAATAATCTGTAATCTGTACTCGTAACTTGGCTATTGCGTATGATGAGATTTTGAGAAAGTCGATAAAATCAGTCGATTTTAGTGGTCTTGAATTCGGTGAAACTTTTCGATTGTTGCACTTCTTCGAGTTCAAATAAATACAGTAGCGTGCTTTTCGAACGACCGCGTGATACTGAATCGCGACGATAATCACCGGACGTTCTATCTACTCATGGCGAAACTCTAAAGTTTCTGTTAATAACGTGCTAATTTTTCCAGTTTGTCTTTCCCACTAATGTCGCCTTTTAATCAGTCAGATTCAGGATCATACACAATACAAATTACAAAAATGCATTTTCCTACAATTCACGTCACAGTACATCCAGAACACAATCCAAATGAGTGGCCAAAAATGGCCGCGCAGAGTGTCGAAGAGGAACGTCTTTTAAAGCCGGGACGTCACGACACGGAAACCGGTCTCAAGCCGTTCGAATGTCAGTCGCACTGTCATCGTGGAAGAAGCTGTGACGCGGTTTGTCCATCTAACGCCATAAGATTGGACATGACTTCGCGCTGGCCGTCGCGTTTCATTAGTGCGCGGCCCATTGTGCCGTACGGCTTCTCTTGCATTCGCGATCGCCGCGGTTCACTCGTTCGCGCGCGATTCGTCCTCGCTTAAGGACGTAAATGTTCAAGAGCGAACAAACCGCCCACGATTCTCATCACGAAATCTCGAAACATGCTGGTCCTCCGGTTACTGCAAGCTTGGGACCTTATCTTAGTCTCGTTTCAATGAAAATTCGGAGGCACGTGTATCATATTTAATACAAAGTTAGTAAACAGCATGAATATCCAGGTATTAAATATGAATCCACTGAATGTTAAGACTTATTGATATAATGGATAATGAATAATTGGCTGGTTAAGTACTTTTGTGATCTCTCCGGAATATACTTGTGCTACATATGTACTTTGCAACTTCTATTCTCAAAGTTGATCGAAACTTTAGATACAATAATATATTCACAAAAGACTACAAAAGCATCGAAATACTTTCCCGAGCTATTGTACACATTGTACACGTACACAGCTGGTGGTTCGATCGAATTAAAGTGTCTCGATGTAGGAGGCCGTGTAGCGCGCGCGGCCTGATTGAACGTTTGCCTCCACCGGCTGACTATACTTAGTAGCTCATTGATCGTCTCTATGGCGGTCCTCAATCATATCTGTTTAAGCGGGGAATCAAGCGGCTACCACAACGGAGGCTGTTCACCTCTGTCCGCCTGCTCTCTACGCGGTACATAATGGACCGTGTTAAACGCCACGATAAAATAGTGTCTACGTTTCATGGTTCACCGATCGAGTGCTGCTTTCGGCCGCGGACGCACCTTTCTTTCTTTCTCGAAGCTCTTTTAGACGAAGAGATTTCGTTCTGTTTGCATGTTCGATCGGTAGATAATTTACTTGTTTCAACCATTCAAGCGATTGAACTTGATAATTGCTGCTTTCTCGTGGTAATCGTGCACATTAATGGGAGTTGGTATTATTCATCGATCGGTTGATAGCAGCCTGTGTTATGCGATGGAGTTATAATTGCAGGTGTTTCTCGATATATACGTTTAAGTTAATTCTCTGATGTTACACCTGTATATTTACTGTAACTATGGAGATAGATAAATGTAGCGTTCAATTTTGCTACAGCAATTTTTCAATTTTCGACTCAATCGTTTCTGTAAATTACCGTTAAAAAGAATTCTTACGTTTGAAAGAAATATGGAAGAATCGTTGTTAGTATCCTGTACACGTA